TTAAATTTCTTAAAATTATGAGAGTTAATTCAATTTTCTTACAATGTTCATGACCTTTATCAATTAAATTAATTAAGACTTATTTTTACTTTGAAGTTTATGCGACACTCATAATTTTTCATACAATGATATAATTAATTATAGTAAGCCTCAAGCTAACAAAGAGTTGATGCATGCATGCTATAATTATAGTGACATAAAAGAAATCATCCATGTCAGGGTGGATTTATTAAAAAAATAAGAATCAACCATGAAGTAAGAAAATTCATGCATGCACATATTTTCACTTTATATCATTTTGGGGTGATAAGTTTATGCATGAAAAACATGTATTTTACTCTTAAAAGGTTAATAATAATGTTATTTTTAATGTAAAAGTAAGGCTTTAACTGTTATGCATGTAAATATGAAAATTTAGGTGTTAGATTTGTAAATATGAAATAAATGTGTGATATGTAAGTTAATGATCTTTTTATTTTTCATGATTAAAAGTTTCCTATTGAATATCTAGCCTTTTATTCAAAAAGAACCTTTTTGGAGTACCAAATAAATATCAAACAAGCACTACAAAATTCGTTTTGATTGAACGAAAATGAAACGAATTATGAAAGTGAGCCATCTATACATGGATCAAGTGGATGCTTATATGATCATATTACCATTTTTTTTTAAAAATGCACAAATATCATAATTAAAATCATGTATATTTATACATGTAATATCTACCTACAAAAATGAGCTATCAAATTCATATTTTTGTTCATGACACAATCAAACCGTTACATAATTAACCAAAAACAAAACATTATGATTTAGTTGTTATTTTTGATACTTAATAATTTTTTTACAAATAAAAATAGAATTGGGCCTCAAAAGATAACATTTTTATATCAATATATTTTATAATAAGTCATTATAATATTAACTTTAATGCTTTTCTCTTTTTAACACCATGCATGCTTCCCCTTGCATAGTTATTTTAGTACCATGCACCATAATTGCTCTATTATGGCTTTCCTTTTATGGATCCACCATTAATTGGACCTTATTTAATTGTGTACTTCATGCAAGATTCTTGAGACAATGGATGCTCTCTCTCCTTCTCCAAGAAAAAAAATTGATGGAGCATTTTTACTTGTATTGTACAACATTATTGGACATGATTGAACCTTTATTGCTATTACTTCCACTTTGTAGTCATTGATTTTTAATACACAACTAGAGGTTGTAACATCGTTGAATAAGAAAATCAAAGATAGTCATGGGGAATCTAATTCTATTTTAATGAAGGTAGAATAATACATGAATAATATAATTGATACAATAATATTAAGGAAGTTATTTTAAAATTTAAACACATTTTAATATCAGTTATCCTTTTCATTGTCCTTGAATTTTGATTTATTTTATATAAATATGACTTATATTGAGTTTTATTGAATCGACTTTTGCACTATAATTTGTCTTCTGCTAAATTTAAAATATTTGATTACTCTATCTCAATTGTTATATGACTCTATTGTTGTGCTTCTATATTCTAATATTCCTCTTATTCGTGTAATACTATTTCTATATGTATATTTATTTACATGCGCCCATCATCATTTTAATATCAAATTCTAAATTATTCATAAGTTGGTTTCTTCCCAATCTTGATAACAAACTACACGTTAATCATTGACATGTGCACGATCTCCCTATTGTGCATCAACTCACCTTTTGTATTTTGGATTTCATTCCCTCTACATTAACACAATGCTAAATTTAATTTCAAGCCCGCTGGCACCCCGTGCTCTAAATTATTAGTCACATGTAGCATTTAGTTTATTTGTTTTGTTATTCCCCTCCCTATCCACATCAGCTTCACATGCAATGGTTTTGCCCCCTATTCCCCTTGTTCATGGTCATGCTTAAACCTTAATAAGATTGCATATTAAACATCTAGCCTCTCAGCACTATTGTTATTACAAACTTAGATAGCTTATAATAGCACATATGCTTGCCAGCATGAACCAAACATGCACACACATTGTATCGCATCTACAACACCTAACATGTTGAGCTTACCAGTAATAACAGTGTGCTTATATTTCTTTGAACCATTTATGCTCAACCACAAGCCTTCTATGCTAAAATTGTTTGACCACCTTTTAAAGTCACCAAGATTTCAATTTCTTGTGTCTTGAAGACTTGATGCATCATACATTTTTGGACATAATTATATGTTACACTACTATTAAGAGATTTTATGTGTATTTTGTTTCAAAATGATTTATTTTTATCACCTTTACTTCCACCTCTCACTTAAAATCTGACCTGTGGACTTTAAGACAACATTTCTTACTTTGCAAATGATTTGTGATGACCCTCCTGACCAGTTTGACGCCCTCAATGTACATATGAGCAAAAAATAACAATCATTTGGACGCTAAATCATTGTATTGTCAATTTCATAAATCGTATTTGTACTAGTTTTAATTTATTTAGCTATTATTGAGGCATCACTTGAAAAGATAATTGTGAATAAGAGAGATGCAAACCTTGTTAAAATGTATGATAAATAACGTAAATCATGTGAGTGAGAAATTTCTAAATGGACATTATGGAACTATAATTACTATAATGTTGGCATTTTCTATAAATGCCTTAATCATCTCATATAAAAGTTTAGTTTTATTTTATATAATTTAAATTAATATATAGATTATTCTTATACAAATTATTGCTTACAAGTCCTAAAGGATTGAATTGAAACAATATACATTCATTCATATGAATTTAAGAATGATTCTATATCTTATGGAATGATGTACGATGATAAATCCATACAATATTCATATACACAATAATTTCAATATCAAATTAGAGAGTGTATTGATTATCATTCCCATAAATATATCATATCAACATCATTATCATCAACATTAGAGTATATTTTCTTATGTTGAGTGTGGTCAATATCTTGATAATGAAAGAAGTTAACTCAAATATGTCATAATACATGGTAAAAAATGTGACAAACTTAGACGCAATCAGATTAAGGAGTGGGACAAAAAAAATTATTGCAAGCATGAGCAGAATAAAAATTTTAAGCAGGGGGGACAAAATTAAAAATCAACTAAAAATAAATAGATAAATAAAATAAAATAAAATAATTACAGAGACAAGTTATAAAAGAAAAAAAATACATCAACATCTTGACTTGTGCTTGATGTCTCTTCATGGGATCGACAAAATCAAATATATATATATATACAATATATACTACAACTAAATTTCTAAGAAATTTATATTTTATTCTATAACCTTATCTTGACAATATTCACAATTGAAAATGTGTATTTAGTTTTAAGAGAGCAAAATTGTGAATGTATAACATGATATTACAAAGTTAAAATTCATAGGGGGAGGGGGTAACAACCCCTCTTGGTTCCACCACTAATTACATGTGCAACCATTGAAAAGAATCCTCAATTTAAAATGAAGTACTACTTTCTATATTAGATTAGATGCACAAACAAATAATAAAAAATTAAACGATAGTGTCATCATATGCTAACTATTTTTTTTAATAACTAAGTACTAATATTCTTGTACCATACGTAATAAGAATAACAAAAATAGAGGCAAATTAATTGGACATTTATTAAAAATCATAGCAAAACATGATACTACAAATAATATTTTTCATGCATATCTCATAGTTTTAAATAGGTCATATATATTAAATAATAAAAATCGGTACAAGGTAATGCAGTCTAACATTGGAGATGATAAGCCAGTTTAGTAGAGCAATCATTAATTTTAATTCTAGAAATTAAGTTATTAATACATTGCAATCTTACTTTTTTAAAATGAGACTATAATAGTCATTCAACATTTATCTCTCATATATGCACTTATTAATCCCAATAAGATTTAAACTATAATTTTTTAAAGATATGTGATATCAGTTACTTCACTAGTTTATGATGGTATAATAGATAATGTCAAGAGACCACATGTAGAAGTGGATAAAACTTAGGTCATACCATATGTCGAAGCGAGTAATGTTATAGAGATAATAGCTACTAAAAGACTGCGGCTTTATGAATTCTCAAATACTAAACATCCATTGAAGCACACACCATCTTTATGACTTAGTTGAAAATAATAAATGAGGGAGGTGTTTTTAATCTTTATTTATACTGAGTTTAGAAGCAATAATACAACATATGCACATTCATAATCCCACATGATAAGTGTTTGTGCTTGAACACAATTGTAAATGTCATGGCTATTAATATAATTAGATTTAATTAGATGGCAATCTTATTACATTCTTTTAAGGCACAAAAGCAAGAATGATTATTCGATATACACATTATTGTAGCAATTAGAAAAAAAAATAGGAAAGAAACTGGATAAACATTGAAGAAGCTCTTGAATAAGGCTCAAAACAACGTCTAACCCATTAGTTGTTTTAAAGTGCACATCCTTGATAGTGACATCAATAGGACCAAGTTACTTATAAGACCGAGTGCCCACCACATTCAAAATAATTTGTATTTTACTATTGTTGTTATTATTGTGGTGTTTTAGTTCTCATTTTATTTTCTTTTATGATTATATTTTTTCTTCAATATAATTTGAACTATATTTTAATCATTATCGTTATGATGTATTTTACTTAATTAATTTATGGTGAAAAATAAAAGGGGAATTTATATACATAGCATTTATATATCTCACACCAAAACTTTAATTTTTACAAACACAACATCCAAAATAGCACTAATCACACTTTTCAAATAGTGAAATCCATGTTTTCATATATAGATAAAGTGCTATTATTGCAAAAAATGAAATTTTTGGTAAGAGATACATAAATGAATAAGAATGGGGTAAAAATATATTGCATCAAATTTAATTTTTAGATTTTTTTTTTTCAAAAAGAAAATAAATAACGGCATTTTAATATTATTTTAACTTTCTAATATAGTCAAATGTCGAGGCTCAAAATAGTCTTTAGTCCCAAGTGGCAAGCGCCATGGCTGATGAATGAGGAGCGTGACTAGGGCTAGGGTTTCGCTTGATGTGAGCTCTTCATTTGTCGGAAGTGAACGGCGTTACAGTGGCGTGGAAGAGGTGGATGGTTATGGGAGCCACGGGTTCGAAGCTCGAAAAGGCTCTCGGCGACCAGTTCCCGGAAGGCGAGAGGTATTTTGGACTCGAGAATTTCGGCAACACTTGCTATTGCAATAGCGTTCTACAGGTTTCGCCCTCATCTACTTAACGGACTAGCTCCAATTGTTTCTGTTTTGTATTAGGGTCTGTTGGTAACGTTCGGAAGCTGATAGGGCTTTGGGGGAATGTGGGAGTTACCATGTGTGAAAGGAAAATGGGCTTTTCAAATGGTGATTTTAATGACTTTCTAGGCGCAGCCAATCTTATCGAGTCTGCTTTTTTAATATCTTTTTATCAATGCTACAGCTTGTATGTTTTGCAATTTTTTTGCGCCAATAAAACAGAACTTGATTGAAAATTTTTCAAAAAACTGAATTTTTCAAAAACTGATTTTTTTTTTTTTTGATATAGACGTTTTCCTTACAGAGTTTTCATTTTAGGATCTATCTATACTAGTTTGGAATCTTATGCTGCATGTGCACCAAGTATAATCGCCATTAGTTGAAATAAGAAAAGAAGCGGCCATTACATTGCGGTAAGACTGTTGAGAGTCATTGCAATGAAATCATTTCCGCTGTGCATAATCTGCTTCATTTATTTTTTTGATATGTAAGTGCTATGAAATATTGATTAATATGATTGAATGAACTGAAAATCAATTGTTAGAAGGAAAACTCCATCTTCTCTCTAATGTATATAACATTTTTCTTTGTCTTTAAAAGCAGCCATGGAATTATTGATGAAAGCCAATATGTAGGCTCCACTAGTCACTGCTGCCAGCAAATGTCTTAGTAGAAATTTTTATATTAATGTTGGAAAAAAGATGATGATGATTTGAGATGAAGTGCATGGATTCAATTAGGTGGTTAGCAAGATGAAAATGCTTCAATAGAGAACACTTCAAATGGTATGCAATGAATCATTATCATCCTAAAGTTGAACCTGATTAGAAAAGAATTTTCATCTTTTGTGCTGTCCCAGGAAGCTGTTGCGGGGAAGCTGACTGTCTGTTTGTTGCAGCTGTGTGAAAACAGCGGTGGAGCAGCTATTTCTAAAAAAATGACTATTCTGTCCCTATTTAGTGAAATATAAAAATATATAGTACTTGAGTGGTATGTATCTAAATGCACCCCCACCTTCATCTATAAAAAAGTAATATTTACATAGATAACAATCAATTATGAAGTATTTACATATATAACATCAAAACTTCTATACATACATACATACATACATAGCATCATTGTTTGAAGGCTTTCTAAAGATGACAAGACCAACTTTATTTACAAAATCCTTTGATTTGCTCACCATTTCCCAACAAATCATCTTTGTCAACTCGATCATATCTGATAATAGTTTCCAAAAGTAAAAAAAAAATTAGTTCACACATCTTCTTGTCATAATGCCTAATTCTAAGCCCATTTTTTCACAATGGTTCCCAAATTACAAAAACTTATTAAAAAAAAACAAAAAGCATGGAAGTCTATGAGGAGGTCTTTAAAGAGCTGCATATTTCTCCCTCCAAAGAGCTTTTCTGGCAATCAAAACCCTTTCATTCCCTCTGGAGAGAGCATCAACAGCTGGTTTGAACTCAAAGGACCAATAATCCCATCTCAATGGTTTGAGATATCTCCGGATGTAACTTACAGTAAGGGATTGGTCTCTGATGATGACAAAGCCGTGCGGCCTCAAGATTCGATCCATCTCCATAAGTTGATACTCCAGACTACAGCCATGTCGCTCTAAGTCCAAGAAGACGAACCAGGCATGAAGCAGGTCGTCGGTGTGCGGGTAAGTCAAGAACGACTCGGAGAAGGTCTAGTTCGATCCACTCTTCTCTCCGTCTCTCCGTGGTTTCTCATATGGGAACTCGCTACGGCAGACAATGAGCCGAGAAGGGGCATACGCGTAAAAGTAAAAAAGGGAAAGCTCAACTTTGGGAGGGATCCTACGGTCCGCCTTCCGCTGCGCTTTGGTGTCGCCGTGATCAAATCATCGCCCCAAACGGGTGAAATTCACGGGGGGACACCGCACCGCTCGAAAAAATCCCCCCAAACGGGCCCATAATGAACTCGAGCTTGGCTCGTCTTTGAAAGAGGCAGCTCGAACTCCAGCTTGACGTGTCGAGACCATATTATGAGCTTGAGCTTTCTTTTCAGTTTATTAACAAGCTCGAGAGATCAACTAGATAAACTCATGGCCGACGTTCGTTGAGGGGTTGCTTGAGGAAGTCAAGGCTAAAGTTTGTTGATGAAGGCACCGCTGAGATCGATCGTGAGAGCTCGCTTGAGAAGATGATCGGGAATTGTGCAGACAGAAGGTGTGCTAACAGAGGAATTATATAACAATGAATATTTTATATACTTAATTTGTTAGTACATGTTTTGTTGCATTGAATGCAAGCCAACCTTCTATTTTTTAAATCTTTCTTTACCAATGACTTTTTTGGAGAGTTGCATAACTTTATTTTTATTTATTATATTAATTTCTTAATTTTAAATGTTTAGTTTTATTGAGTCAACTCGCGGCTTATGAGCGAGTTTTACTAAATTCAATCTCGAGCTCGTTTGATATATGAGCTTTAGTTTGAGCTCAAACTTGAGCTTGTTAGCTAGCCGGCTCGGCTCATTTACACCCCTAATAGTGGGATTTGAGTGAAAATTGTTATGTTTCCTATTGAATGCATGAATTGAAAAGTTGAACTACATCCACAACCATATAAAGTAGCATGGGTAGATACTATAATTTCTATGATACAAAGTTGCTTGGTATCCATTCAAATTGTGACCTATAATGATATATGTTTTTGTTACGGATGTTGTGCGTGCCAATTTAGGTAGGCTACGATTGTATGATGTGGAGGTGGCAACTTGGGAAGTTTAATATCTATGTGTTTAAGATCAATGAGAGCACAAAATGTAAGAGTAATTATGTTTCAAAATAAGCAAACACTCCAATGAATTGAAGAAAATTTTGCATATTTTGCATTACATGCTTTTGAAAAGTAACATTAGATTGAGGAAATCATTTATGTAATGGCAGTTGTGAAATGAAACATTTATGTGTTTAAGAGTATGGTCGCACTTGAGGATACTAGCTAGTTGCTATGTAAATTTAAAGAATTTCATTTTGATGAGCTTCTTGATAAATGACAACTACCTAGTGTATGCAACATATCTTTTATTTGATTCAGATACCATTATTATACAACACACCACATTATTGAATGAATCTTATGGAGTGTGTTGAATTTAAAATAAGTTGATGAATTGCTTAGCACAAGATTTATTAGGCAATCGGGGTGACTTTGAGCAGTTCCTGCATGACTTACGCCTATAAAAGACAAAAGTTAGATAATGTGTGGATTTTTGAGTGATATGGAGATCACCACTGGATAACGATTTTCTATGCCTAAATTGGATGGTAAGCTAAATATGATGAATGGAGATGTTATTTTTTCAAAGGTTTAAATGAAAAGTGGTTATGATCAAGTATGTTGAGAGGGCTATGAATACTTGACTGCTTTTAAGACTTATGAATGATTAATGAGTCCTTTTTGAGTGTATAATGTACCAAGTACTTTTATGAGAACCATGAACCGTGTTGTTTGACCTCTCATTGGAAGATTTTTGCTTTTATACTTGCATTACATTTTAATTTTAACTAAATTAGTGAGTATCATTTGGGTCTTCTTATATATTTTTTTAAACTACAAGCAGAGATCTTATTTGAATCTAAGTGTTAGTTTGCTAGATCATTTATCATATTCACATGATTTATCGTGTGATTTATTTTGTTTGTTGATCATTTGTTGACTATGATAAAATTAGCACACTTAAAAATCGCTCGGTCTTGCTAACATTCATGACATTTTGAGCTTTCATATTTGTGCGCTTTTTCTAGCAATTCATTAAATGTTGTAAAATTGTTATGGAATTGATTAGAAATTGCCTCAAAATGGTAGGAGTTAAATGGGCAAATTTTGTTGAGTATTCTTTCAATGATATTAAGGAAATACTTCTTAGTGCATATATTCTTAGATTGTTTTATTTTGATGAAATATTCAAGAGTTCCTGTATGTAACTTTTGTGGTGATTGGAGTATGGAGTTAAGTGAGAATCATGAACCATTTTCTTTGACGTCTCATTGGAAACTTTTTGCTTTTATACTTTAATTTAATTTTAATTTTAATTAAATTACGGAGGATCATTTGGTTCTATTTAAAGAAGTTTGAGCATAGGTATTAAATGGGCTTTCTTTATGAATATACATTTGTGTTGAAATTGCGCTAGATTTGAAAGCAAACTTGGTTATGCTTTGAGTTGGTTTTTAAACAATGCTTGCTTGAGTGATTTGCTTTGATTACATCGAGGAAGGTTATGCAGGTTGTAAGTTTTCCAATAAAATATACCATAACTTACCTAGTGGTTGATATGTGCTTAACAAGTTTTTTTTTCCTAATTAGAGATGAATTTATTTTTGAAGGAACTTATTTATGCAGTCCTGATTCATCTTTGAGTGAAGTTTTAGTTTAAAATTTTATATTGATAGTATTGTCGGACATCCTAGTTGTGATAAAACCATAGTTATGATCATGATAGATAACATTAATCTAGCCAAAAAAGGGATGTGAGAATTATTTCGCAATTTAGAAATTTGAACACATCATATGACTGGAGAAAGGAGATGTAGTTATGAGCTTTACCTATTATTTTTAAGTTGTAGGGTGGTAGCATGCTACCTGTTTGAGGATTGCTATGACCTTAATGAAATATTATTCTTTGTGGCGTTTGATAACTTTTCTAACATGGATGATTTCATTCTATACTATAACTTGTTATATTTTATATGTTAAAATTCTATTTCAATGAAGTGGTTAAACTGCATGAATTATCTAAAAATGTTATGCATGTATGTATGCTAAATTCTTGAGTTTCTCATGCAAAATTTATTGAAAGGATGGGAATCCTATTAATTTTTTTTTCATTTTCCACCATAACGATTAGATAAACTGAGTTGTCAATTGGAGTTTG